AGAGTTGACCCTAACATCTGAATCGTTCGGTGCAGCATCTTCATTCCCTAGCGTGCTACAAAACCATCCCAAGCCACGCTGCGAGGTAGCACAGATTCAATGCCTGTGCCTGCCCAGGGCGTACTGAGGTTTCAACGGACAAAACTCCACCTAGCGAGGAGATGGACTGTACTGCACATTCAGCATTCAAGTTAAGTACGAAGGGACTCCGGTGACAAAATAATCTCTGGAAGATAACAAACCCTATAGCATTGCGCTGCCCTGGTGTTGATAAGGCCTCACATATCTACCCAAAGTCCCATCAGACCGGAGTACAGCCTCTCCTCAATTTGAGTCAGATAGAATGTGGAGAAACATTTTCTTCAAACTTCACCTTATTAAGCCACACGCTGACTTCGTAAGAATGTAATTGAAGTGACATCATTTGGCTTTCATCACCTCGCTGCCGCTGACATCTCCCTCACAAACGACTGACCTGAAGCTCCTTGACTTCACTGGAAATTTATTAGTGTTCTTGAACTTTGAACCAACATCCCCTTTCTGATGGCGATATAATAAAACCAGAAATACACCACTAGTGTTGTATGTCCAAAAGTTTTAATACATGGTCCTCACTGCTCAGAGAAGTTATTGCATTAAATTCTAATACATAAATTCATCTTAATTAAAAAAAAAAAATCGTCATTTTACACATCACAATTTTGTCACAGGAGCTAAAGGAAACCAGATTTTATATGCAGTTGTCTCAAAGCAAAAAAAATACAACTAGTTCTTCCCCAAATCAACAAAACTGCTATCGTATTATTCAGTAGTTACTGCAAATCCCAGCTTGAACAACACTATTCCCACAAGTGTACAGCTCAGGAAAAGAAAAGTGCCATTCCAATTTACCATCTGCAAATCTGAAATTTATTAAACCAGGACTCTCAGCATATGTTGACTTCTTCTGTTAACTGAATTAACATACAAAGCGTGTTTAATTTAATTGCACACCATTTTCTTTAAGTCATTGTTCTTCTTTTATTATGACTTGAATAGATTCACAGGTTACAAAATATCAATGCTACCTACAGCAGTTTATACAAATCCACAGGCGTGTCTGAATTGTGAGAGGCACACGAACATGATATTTGATCACCCGAAGGAAAGGCCAGATTCCCTGATCCATTAAAACCAACATCCACATAAGCCCACTGCTCTATGGATGACAGCAGAGACAAAATCAGTAGGCCGTGCGTGCCGTAAATAGATTGATGAAGGGAGCGGTGACAGAGGCATAACAGAGCACATGGCAGAATTACATTCTACATTTCATCCTCTGAGGAGGGCAAGATGTGCTACACCAGCTTGCAATAGAAGCATGAATAGGGCTCTCCTCCTATTCAGTCTTATGCCAGAGCTGGGAATCGGGAAACTGCGATTCAGCTTCTTACACAAAATCCTCAAGCATCACAATAACCAGTCTTGAACAGCAGTTCCACAGCTTACCCTTCTCTTGCACAGAAAAAAAAAAAAAAAGTTACATAAGGCTTGTCTGTACTTATTCTGTGCTCACAAGGCGCTTTCTTCTGCTGTAAAGAAAACAGTAAAATACACCTGCCTTCGGAGAAAAAAAGCCCTCCCTTCTCCCTCTCCTCCAAAATACCCGTCATCATGGAGAGCTCTCACTTATAATCCACTTGAAAATACTTCTCAAATTAAGTAAGGCCAGGTTGCTACCTTTGCCCACTTTGAACAGATGAGAGAATATATTACTTCGATATACTTCACCAGGTTCTGGTATCAAAGATAGTTCACTAGTAAATATCTCCAAGAGAGAGCCGCACAGCTGTTAACATGTTCACACAAGTTCTAACTCTCACTGTCCCTGTACCTTAAAATAAAACTATAGCTATTTCAGTGGTTTTCAATCAGTTTTAGCTAAGAGCACCGAGTCACCCTTTAAAACCATTTTGTACATTTTTTTTCTGTGATTTGCTAGCAAAAGGCTCAAACACTGGTGAGCGAGTGAGCAGAGACAGTAGGATGCTTTGCAAAATCTGACAGTTCAAAAGGCATCCAAAGAGATGAGAGAAAGAAAAATAGCCACTAAAGTGAAAACTGCATTGAACCAGCGCTGTGAAAACAGGGAGAAATGAAGAAGCTCCAGTATAAGCAGTTATGCAGAACATTTTACTAGCGATATCTTTTGTTTGTTCAGGCAGTCACAAGGCATTCATTACCATGATACAAACTGCAAAAGCTTTCATTTGAAAGCGCAAGAGGAATAGGATACTCAATTATTCCAGTTAAGAACACTTATCGAGAGTCTAATACAAGGTTACTTAGCTGCGACATGATTTTCTCACAATTAAGAAAGTCTGCACTAAAGGGGAAGAAGTTTACACAGCTTAGAAGATGATGCTGACAGCTTTCTAAAGCCAGCCTTTTCACAAGACTTGGCTTATTTTATATCCAGAGACACGTACTGAACGAGACAGCCATCACCTTCAATCCAAACAAACGAGCGTTTGCATAAACTTCCCCCATCCACATTAGAGTTCCCAACCAAATACAGTCCTTGTGTTTTCTGCAAAAAAGATAGTTCTTCTTGGTTATTGCTGTATTACAGGAAACGACACTAATATTTGCAGGAGAGACAGAGTGCGTATTTTGAAGATCGCATCATTTACAAAAAGCCTCACACCCAGTCTCTTCACCTTGTGCTGCTTCTGTACAGCAAAACTAGCATTCTGTTTCTTCCAGACGAAACAGTACCTTCAGACCCTCTCCCTGCCCTGCACATCTCAAGAGCATTTATGCCTCCCACTATGGTTTCTACCAGTAGGTAATGGCCCATCATGCATTTATGACAGCACCTCAAGCAAGAGCGCATACTTCATCCAATGGACTTGACCCCAATGAAGTCCATAAGAAAACAAGAAAGGGGAACACAAAGGGGAAGGGAAGAAAGTTATTCTCACTTCTTCGCTGAAGGGAACAAATGTTTCTGACAGCAGAAGGTTTGTTTTCAGAGAGCTGTAATTTAAGCCGACAGGCCAGCTTATTAAATAGAAAAAGCCCCTTCACCCAAACACAAAAACCTGTACAAAAGACATTTTTAATTTAGATCTGCCTCTGAAATGAATGAAGAGCATTTGAATGTTGGAGAAACTGAAGAGTCTGCACTGCTACCAAACAAATCAGACTGTGCAAATCCATGCTGTTTATCTGCAGTGCTGAGTCACATCTGGATGGTGGACGTGCCTCACCGAATACCACACCTTGGAAGCGTTTCAGCACTTCCCCTCCTACCAGAACACTGCCTTAAAAAAGAATTCCTACAGTGACGTGATGAGAAGTGATCTTTTCCTGCCGTGTGGTGTGCGTATATTTAAGACTTTCACAAACATTTGGCCAAAAAATGTATATTATAGTATTTCCCAAGCCACAAACGCTACACAAGCCATTCTTACAGGATATGCTGTCCAATGACACGTGACCTCGACCTTACTTCTCGGTCTCCTACCCGCCATCCACCAAGCAAAGCATTGCACCCTTGCAGGCTTTGATTGTAAGTCTTCAGCTTCTGGAATGCAGCAGTTAGATTTCTGCATTTTTCAGGGACTCAGAAAAACCATTTAGCTCTCATATTCAATGTACAACATTTTCAGTAAGTGCTTTCACGCTCCGTTCATAAGAACAGTTAGGTCACTTCACACCACAGAGGTGGTACTTTCCGGATTTACACGCATCAATCTTGAAGCATTTCTCAGATCCTGTAGCTGCTTGGCTGGCTTTCCAACTCCTTCCTCAAATCTTTTTTCCACAACAGGAAGGACAGTTTCATACAGGAAGGATGCATTCTGCCTAATGAATGCTTTTTTCTCAGGGTCCTGTTCACACCGTAAACTGTAATCAACATGCTGGACAGCCACCAGGATGATTTCCACAAGACTCTCCAAAAGAACCATATGCAGCTCTGGAAAGTAAAGCTTCAACGCTTCCTCCAAGAAGGCCATAGTCTGCTTAGTGAAAGCTACTACAGTATAGCTAAGGTTGACCCAGCAGTCATCACCCGTGTATTGGTCAAAATTGCCTACCCCGCAGCCCCTCATCTCCTCCCTGAGTTTCCCCAGCGCCTCTGGAGTCATTAGGTTCATCCTCCTCCACATCTCCTCAGAGTTGCGGTGCTTGGTGGCCTCAATGATGATATCCTTGTAGCTCTGTAAAGCACCTTTGATATCCTTTACCAGAAGGGCATGAATGATGAAGGTGAGGTCCAGTCCAATCTCGCTAAGCTGCTTGCAGTGCTCTTTAGCTACCTTGGATATTAACAAAAAGCGAAGGGTGTTACTAGTGTGCGGGCCCCCTTTACATCTTACACATTTCCAGAATCTATCATTCTCAGAAAACGGGGAAGCGTTAGTCGTACACCGCTTATTTCACCTGCTCTAAGAAATTCCTTATTAATGAGAAATTAATAACTGAAAGATAAACCCTGCCTTTCAAAAACACTCTGGACAATTACATTATAGCCCCCCCAGACACACTTTGCTCCTCCCCCAAATTAGCAGCTGAAAGAAACCATAACCTGAGAAAGTTAGTCTTGCAAAAAATTATGGAAATGTAGCCCAGGACAGGCTTGGAAAACAAACAAAAAGTCTTCAAAATACTCATCATTCAGATGTAGCTTATGTAAATTTTAGGACCTCCTACTGATTAAAGGCAATTTAGAAGAAACACATTTTGCATTTCTGATAAAGGCAGGGTTTTTCTTGCTGTGTACTTTCATCTGAATGCTTTCCCCTGTTAAACTGAAAAAAACCAAACCAACCCCCCATTAACCTTTCAATGCAGGAAACCTCTTCGGAGACCCACTCAAGAGTCAACAACTAACCTAGGGTTAGAAAAGAGGATTTACAAGCTTTGCAGCCTTTGGTTTGGCCATCATGTCACACCAC